CTATTTAGGGTTTGACAGATCCCAATACTGATCAGAGATGTATCGGCACAAATCTCATGTTTGGCACAGGGCTATATACTACTAATCAGGAATTAGTGTAGTCCAGAATGATACTGTAACACGTAATTTATTGCAAGTGTTGGTTGCATGGTCCCACTTGATCTGGGATCAATTTGAGACCAAATAGATACTTTGGGATGTATTAATTGTTAGTCCACAGCTTATTCTGCAATCAATCGCTTCGTATATATCTACTGATAGTTATTTTCTTTTTATGTCAACAAAATTATTGTTACATGTTTGTTTGGTTTTTTGTTAATTGCTGGGCCTTTTACCCCTACTTTATGGATTTGTGTCCTTCAGCTCTATGCACCATCCTCTTTGCTTTGTCACTCAAGATCCGCCTAATTCTCAGCCATCCTTGATCCCTTCTCTAATATGTGAGGTGCTTGCAATTTTGTGCATCAAAATAGTGATGCATATAAATGCACATGCAACTATGATATGAGGCATAACATATAAATATTGGGTTTTGAAAGATATTATCCTTGTTACAATATTCCAGAATTTTTATGAGAGAAGATGAATTCATTCACTAGGGTGCAACAAGTTGCTGCTCCAGCGCAAAGGTGACACAGCAGGGTAATACAAGATATCTATGAGGTCACCTAGATTTATCCATGAAGGAGAGAATAACCTTTAATTAAAATATATGGTTCTGGAACTAAAGGTATCTAGTTCTATCAAAAGGAGAGCAAATGCCCTCAAAAGCTCTTAGTCCCTTCCTTCTATGAGACTCAGAATCAGTGAAAGGGATGAGAAAGACCAACTTCTTTTGCTTGCTTTCTGTCAGACATCCCACCCTTAAAGCTTATTTTCCATCAAACCTCAACTTCTTTTGAGTACTTAGTAGGCACATTTTTTTGGCTTTTCATATACATTGTAATTGGGTTATCTCACTGGATTAGTTGATAGCTTACTGTGCCAATGATTAGAAAATATCATTTGAATCAATGATTT